GGTCCGCTCCCGAGACACAGTCTTAAGCTTTTCTATCTTTAAGCTCGACCGTGTTGTTTCTGTTGCAGACAAGGCCGTCGCATTGTACAGAGCTGGGTTGCCTGCTATGCCGAGGGGAGACGCCAATAACATGACTACAACAGATGATGATTTAGAACTTGAGTTTATTGCTCACACCGTGGACAAATGTACGGGCAGAGAGAGAGACGAAGAAAGTTTGTGCGCAAGGCCGTGAAAAGGAGAAGAAGGGGTCCGGAAGTGGATTGAGGGGGGTTGGGGGTGAAACAAGGTCAGGGTGGGGAGGGAGGTGGGCGATGGTGTTGGAGRGGACATGAGTTGCACCTCCACTGACAGTCAGTGGCATGACATACAACCAATGAGGACCAAAGTGTAAAATGAGAGAGAGAGAGAGAGAGAGAGAGAGAGAGAGAGAGAGAGAGAGAGAGAGAGAGAGAGAGAGAGAGAGAGNGGACATGAGTTGCACCTCCACTGACAGTCAGTGGCATGACACACAACCAATGAGGACCAAAGTGTAAAATGAGAGAGAAAGAGAAAAAGAGAGAGAGAGAGAGAGAGAGAGAGAGAGAGAGAGAGAGAGAGAGAGAGAGAGAGAGAGAGAGAGAGAGAGAGATTATTTGAAAAAAAAAGACTATGGAGAACCCTTTGGGCTGAGTGTACAATAAACAAACATGTGTTATTTAATAAATGGTTTTGTACCAGACGTGTCGTGGATGTGTTTCGACCATGAAGTAGCATTTGCGTTTCAAATCTCACATTACTCACTATCAATTTATTGTACACATTGTTTCTTGTCTTGCAAGGATACGCAGTGCGTCATGTGTAATGTGGGCCAAAATATGTCAACGTATGATTTTGCAAGAACATGAATCGTTTGGGCCGTTTGCAGAAAACGCATTACGCACTTCCAAAAATGTTGAATATGATGTCACAAAGCAGTATTGGGCAGACACTACAAAACATGTTCATCTTAATGCTGGGCAAGAAGTACATGACTGGTTGACTACTGCGTGCCATGTTCTTGTCGTGCATGGGAATGATGCTGGAAATTGGCACCCGGTAGCCAACCCGCATGTGAATTTCGTTCACATCCATCGGTTTGGGAGGGAAGATGACCCTCTCTCTCTCTCTCTCTCTCTCTCTCTCTCTCTCTCTCTCTCTCTCTCTCTCTCTCTCTCAGGTGATAAATAGCAACAGGGCAGTTTTCTGACAAATTTCAAATATTCCCAACAATATCTGAAATGTTCAACAGTTGATAATCACATTTTCGACAACATTTCAACAACTATAAACAACTTTTTAACAACTTTTCAACAACTTTTCAACAATTGAACATGTGTTGAACACAGTGTCGCATGTTTATGACATATGTTATCAACGTTGAGTTCCTTCACTTTTGGTGGAACACATGACACTACGCCCGCCAAACTGTTTATTAACACGAAACCAACAGTTTAAAAGGGGTGCCCACATTTGATAAACCGCCCAAAAAAATGCCCACAATTTTTCTATTGTCACGACGATAGTCGATCAGGCAGATAGCAAGGTAACTCACACATGAGTACCTAAGTTAGTTCATATGTCAATGTCAGACACCTCTGCTCGTCACGACGACAGTCGATCCGGCAGATGGTAAGGTAACTCACACATGAGTACCTAAGTTTCAACCCTTAGTCATGTCAGCGCATACATAAGTAGCACGACGGCTCACACATGAGCCTTCATCGCCCTACTTCGTTCTTCAAGTCCAATCAGTCTAGGTTCCTTCTTGGTTAATTTAGGTTCCTTTCCTTTCACCAGGCAAGATTCTTATTTCAATCATATATTATCTTCCTCTTTTGATTATCTTGGTATTGAAGAATACACAAACAGTATATCACACAGTCATACAGGCAGTCCAATAGAAGGGCATAGCCTGTAAGGGTATATGGGAAAGGGTTAGGTGACGCGTATCTCATGGTTCCCTGCCTCCAGAGTTCCTCCTGAACTCCGGCAGAGCTCCCGCAATCGCCTTGTATTCGAAGATGTATGGTCTATGCAACTGATTGCTGGTACTTAGAGTTAGCAGGGGCCAGTATCATCTTAGTGAAGGCACATCATCAGCCAATCATAGTCAAAGAGATAGGCACTTTGAGAGGATCATATCAAGACAAGGATGGGGAAGGATGGAGGAGGCAGGCACCATCACAAAGTGACACGTCTCGCTCCTCTCCAATGCCCCATACTCTCTTCCTCTCTGACCCCTGACGTTTTAATAGTGAAACAACAACCAATAATAATAACAATAATAATATCAATACTATTAGTAGTAGTATCAGAAGGTTAGCATGTAAAGGCGAAATGACAGATTGCAGATTACGACGTCACACTGAAAGCCAGAAAGTTTGACACTGTCCGGAATAGTAGTAATGCACCACTACCACACCAACGGAGAATCAGAACATCGCATCAGATCGTCAATGGGAGCATACTCTCGCGGTCACCAAAATATGTGTGTCAGGTTCTCCTTCCTACTTAGTGTCTAGATGAAGATTGTATAGATTACTAGCAACCTACGAGTTGACAATGCATTCAGTCGACATCAGCAGTAGAACCGGAGTATATGACGATGTCGACCCCCGCAGACTGTCGGCAAGGTTAGTTATGTGCCCATACACCATTGATCGCACCGTTCTCTCTCTTTCTCTCTTTCTGTGTTTTATCTGTTTGTCTGTCTGTGTATCTGTCTCTTTCCTTGTCTATGTCTGTTTGTCTGTTTGTCTGTCAACGTTTGTTTGACTGTTTGGCTGACTGTTTGGTTGACTATGCTTGTATATATCAAGCCGTTTGTTCAGTCGCCTGCGTCCGACCGTCTTGTTTGACTGTTTGTACTTATCTGTATCTGTCTATTTTTTTTTTCCTTTCTCTTTGTTTTTGCATGTGTTTGTCTGCTTTGTTCGAGTTTGTAGGTCTTGTCTGTTTGTGTTTGTCCGTCTGTTTGTATGTCCATCCCTGTCTTGTTTGTCAGATTCAATCTGTCTTGGTCCGTTTATCTCAGTCTTTGTCTGTTTTGTCTGTCTGTATCTGTCTGTGTGTATCTGTCTATCTGTGTCTTCGTTGTGTATTGCCTATATGCGTCTCGTTTTCTTACTCTCGTACTCTCTTTCTCATACACACACTCTCTTTCTCATACACACACTCAAGCACACATCCATGGGTGAGGTGGTGAGCCCTTATCCACCAGTCAAGTGATCCGCTGAGCAAACTGTTCGTCCGTTCTTTCTGTCAGTTTGTGTTCTTGTGTCTGCTTGCCTGTCCGTCTTTGTGTCTGCGGGGTTACCTGCATCTGGTCTGCATGTTCATCGCTTGTTTGTCTGGTTGCCTGTATCAGGCTGTTGGTTTGATTTGGTATGTCTTTTCTCTGGCTATTGTCCGTGTTTATCTATTTGCGTGTCTGCATGTGTCTGTCTATTTTTATCCCCTTTCTCTCACTGTGTTTACTTGTCCCTGTGCCTGTATGTTGCTGACCAGTGTAGCTGTCGGGTCTCGAACCGTACGTCTGTCCCGTAGGGGTCAAGGTCGTAGCTGCTACAGTCTGAAAAGGTCAAGGTTGTAGCAACTATCGTGTCGAAGGGCCCAAGTTGCAGACTTTCGGAAGATCCGGGAGTGGCCCTCACCCATTGCTCACAGCAGACCTCAGGCAAGCGGGCAAGTGGTGGAATCTACCCGTGCTGATTCTACAGTCCAAATCTCAGTCAGTCTTAGTTCAGTCAAGCAAGTACCGCATGGGACTGTGTGCACTACGGGCATGGGAAAAGGGACCAGACCAACGAGCTACAGAAGTATGAATCGAGAGGCAGCGCCCAGCCATTCATTTATTCCGGCATGAGCCATGCGGAAGTGCTGCCGCAACGACTTGTGTGAGGTGGTCTGCAGTAAGCCCGAAGTCGAAGTGGGCGAGAAGAAGCAGCTTGACCATAGTGATAGGATAGCAACGACATATCTGCCACAACCGTAGTTAGAGCTCAGTGTGTGTGTATGAGTGCTCAGAGAGACGCATGTGGGATATCCATTGTCATTCACTGTATGCGAACAGAGAGTTGTATGGGCGTTATATCGCCATAGCCATTGGAAGTGAACTCGTATCTTGGTTGCCACATCTCCGAGTTTCGAGTGGGCGCATGTCGCCAGTTCGCTGTATGTAAAGTGTGAATGAAAGCAAATCTGACTTTACTACTGCTACCACCACTACTACTACTACTACTAATAATAATAATAATAAAATAATAATAATAATAATAATAATAATAATAATAATAATAATAATAATAATAAAATAATAATAATAAAAATAAAATAATAATAATAATAATAATAATATAATAATAATAATAATAATAATAATAATATAATAATAATAATATAATAATAATAATAATAGTAGTAGTAGGCAACGAAGACGATCAGTAGCGAACTTCTGTAATCAAACAGTGCCATATACACAAGTTAGTCGTGACCCCGAACCAACAGCAAAATTGCATAACGAGATTCACCAAATAAGATCACACCAAGAGTTCATAATTGACTATGCTAAAATAGTCCCATCATCATCATCAACGAAGAACCAGAGTTGATATCCTATCTGACGCTCGGCGCCCAGATTACATGTGGCAGATCCTAACTAGCCTATACTACAATACAGAAGTTGACGACAACAACTTTCGGAAGTACGAGCATACAACGGTCAATGCCGTACGCTCCCAGCACCAGGTATGTCTCTCGCTACACTCACAACCTCGTTCCACAACACACAGATACCACTAGCACCCATGGACCACTACACGCCCCATTTCCTTCCCTCTCTCTCACTTTCACGCGCACTTACACACACACACACACACACACGTACACTTAGTAGTGTATATCTCTATGACTTAGCGTCATATTCATTTGACTTTGCTAGCGGTGGACTTCTTTTCTTTCATTTTTGCTCGTTCATTGATAGGAGTAGCGTGAGTATAGTCGGGGGTTGGAGACTTACCTGTTGGTCGGCGCGTTGCTCCATCCATGACGCCACTCAGTCGGCAACGGACGCAGAGCTTCCCTACTAAGTCTCAACACCTCTGAGACAGGGCCGTCGTGAGTGCGGACACGAAGATGACACCGCAGCCAAGCTGCAACCGCTCTTCCCGACACCTACGGGATGAGCGAGGGTGAACGTAACGATCCACAACCCAGCACCACGGCATGGAAAAGCCCCGACAATCGCGACCGCCGCCAGTGAAAGCGAGTTGCCGTGAAAGCCCTCCGAGAGAGATGACCAGTGGTCCGCGCGGCGCCGCAAAAATGTTTGCTCGAACACCAGAGAACGACTCGCCCGTCTCTCGCAAACTGGAAACCACCCGAAGCGTGTTCAAAAGCTTCTCAAAACTCGAGTACACGGTCCCAGAACCCACGCCTGGGACATCGCCACCATCGATTGCAAAGGAGGTAACTCCTCCTCCCCCTCCTCCTTCTGCTTCTTCTTCTTCTTCTTCTTCTTCTTCTTCTTCTTCTTCTTCTTCCTCTTCTTCTTCTTCTTCTTCTTCTTTTTCATCTTCTTCTTCTTCTTCTTCTTCTTCTTCTTCTTCTTCTTCTTCTTCTTCTTCCTCCTTTGTGTGCCTCCCTCTTTCGTGCGCCCACCTTCTTTCTGCGCGGCCATCTCTATTCCTCCACGCGTGTTCTTCTGCACGCTCCCCTCGCTGGCTATCTACTATACTCGCGTGCGCCATCCCCCCACGACTCTCTTCCGAGTCCTCTCCTTCTCCTCCTTCTCCTCCTTCTTTTTTTTTTTTTCCCCCCCTTCTTCTTCTTCTTCTTCTGCGCACCTCTTTCTTTCCGCACGACTTATCTTTTTTCCTCCGCACGTTCCACCTCCGCCTGCTAGTGTGCGCCTTTCACTTTTGTTTTCTCCCGGTATCCCCTTCTCGTTTTTTACTGCGCTCGTCGTTCGTGCGCTATCTTTCCCGCTTCCACGATACCGTCCTCTCTCCTCTTCTCCCTCCTCTCCTACTCCTTCTTTTTCTTTTTCTTTTTCTTCTTCTTTTTCTTCTTCTTCTTCTTCTTCTTGCTTGTTTGACTGCCAGCGCTCCTACCCTGCACAGTCTCCGTCGCTATCCCCTGCGCACGACTTTTCCTTCTCCCTTATTCCCCTTCTGCTTTCCGCTCTTCGCTCCGCTCTCCCTCCCGCAGCTTCGCTAGTCTTCGTGATGTGGCGCCGTATTTCCCAAGCGGCCAAATCTTTTTCCTTGCGATTTCGACCAAACAAGTTACTTGGCCGAATCTTCCCCGGTTTCGGGGGTAGATTCAATTTAGTGAATCTATGAAAAAAAAGATAATGGGATCATAAAAAAACTAAGGAAAATAGAAGAAAACGAATCTAACTAAAAACAAAAATAAAAATAAAAGGAAATCTGAACTGCTAACTACCACGTCGTGCCAATTGTCACCACGAGGCTTAACTGTAACCATTCCCGAACTCAAGGTTACGGGTTCAAGCCCCCGTTGCCCAAAGTCGAGGCTAAAATGGGCGGCCATAGTGCTGCTCCCTATCACAAGGAGCTAACTCGGGGTCGGGTGGACTGGATCCCTGAGTCTGTAGCATGACAGTCTGAACCCGTACCTACTTAGCTAGCTCCTATTTCCAATAGAATAGGAGCTGCTCGGCTATAAGTAGAGGAGCAAGGCCCGGACCAACTAGTGGAACGAGCCCAAGCCTCGCTCCTACGACGAATAGGGCTCGGATAAGTACCGTCGTTCAACGATAGTAGGCATTTTAGGCTTTTATAGTCGCCCCGGCCAAATGGCCAGGGCCTATATTAATTTCATCAACTTAGTTTTTCCCGTGTCGTAGGCTTACATCGACATAACACTAACCCAAACCGACCTCTCAGCCTCGGTGGTCGAGGGGTTTATAATATTTTTATGCTTCCTACTTCCATCGCGCACCACGTCCAAGCACGCGCCTCTTACATTTTTCCGTCCTCGCCGCCTTTTGGCGACCGTGGTGGCTCGTAGGCTTACTTTGATTGAACAGAACCCTCGACCTTTACGGTATAAGGGTATTATTAATAATCCTAACTACCGTATGTTGAAATAAAGTGTGCGTGTACTAACCAAAAAAGTTTCCTGTGGATTCGCCTCAGACTCAAAGGTTGAGGAAACCGTTCTGAAGTACTGCACGAAAAAAGTGCACATTCTATCTTTAGACCGTCTCCCTCATGGTAGTTCGTGCCGACGTCGTGTTGACTGCAAAATCATGAGCGGATACCCTTGTAAGGGTATCATCTCCGACAGCGCGCCCCGTCAGACAGGCGAGGCTGCGCTTGCGCAACTTGCAGAAAACACGCCAAATACCCTTGTAAGGGTGTTTGGTACGACAACGTTGTCGGCGCGAATACCCTTACAAGGGTATCCGCCCTGGTTTTTGCAACGGACAGAAAATAAGTTTTGTTTGAAGTTTAAGTACGTTGCGCGAGTCGCAGTTGTGTTTTGTTCACACTGACTGAATGGTCGACTAGGAGTAGAGAGTGTGTGGGCGCGCGACGTTGAGGCGCGCATGATGATTCTTATTTTGATGTTATAGAGTCGGTGTTCCCGCCGACAAAATTCTGACTTTTGATTAAAACTAAGAAAAGTTTCCTTTATTGAAGTAACCGTGGTGCACCGGCGTTCATACGGCATGCGTCATCGGAACTGGTGTTGCTTTGGGCAGTGACTGAAGTGTGCGAGAAAAAGTAGAACACAAGCGGTGACCTCCACGCGGTAGATGCGAGAGGTTGACGGTCGTGGACGGAACCAGGCCCTATGACCAGCAGGCGCCATAGGTCGACAGTCGTGAGTTTGGTTCGTAGGCGAAGGACTGACCTTGAGGTATTTTGATAGGTCCACGTACCGAGCGGCAAACAACTTATACTGATTTTTGCAGTAGTTCATCTCAGCCTTGGGTACTAGCACTATTGTTAACAACTTTTCGGGGCCGCACTGTATAAAGTTACGCGGGCACTAGGTTGGCCATGCGCCGTCAATAGTAGAAGCCGCTGCCGAAGCCGAGTGAGGAGGGCACAAACTAGAGTGACGGTCGGGGTTTCCTCGGTGGGAGGGCGGTAAAAAGGCGTTATGGCAGGCTATGAGGGGCTCGGCCCGCAGGCATACCATGGTGGAGCGGGCGCGTGGGGTAGGCCAAGTGAAGCCTTGCCCTCGAGGCAGCCAAGTGCGGCATTACGGGGCCCTGGGCTCAGGCCGTAAGTTAGAAAAACGGCCTGAGGTACCGTTGCAGGTCCGGGCGGGCTGGCCATACCATTCATATACAGGGCAGCGCATAACTAACTCAAGCTTGGGCTTAGCCTTATAGGTTACGTCATTGAACTTCCACCTGGGGGATCCCGGGATCGAGGCCAGCAACCAGCATTATAGGAGCGGAGAAGTATTTCATGGAGAAAGCTGAGGGGTTGAGGGTCCCGTAGGACTATCCCCCTTAGTTTTGCTGGGGAGTCCTACCGCGGGCCCGAGAGGGAGGGCTGAGGACCAAGTATCACAGCCTCCTCCCCTTATTTCGATTTTCTAGGTTTTTTGTTTATGATTTTTTTTATTTTTTATTTTTTTTTACTTTTATTTTCTTCTTCCCTTATTTCTTGTTTTTGTCCCATTGTTGAACGTGGTCTGGCAGTGGCACCGGAACCGGCCGTGACCAGGGGACACAGCGGACACCAACTTCGATCCGCTGTATGAGGCGTGGGTGTGAGCCTGCCCAGTTCCATCTTGCTGTGAGAACTTTGTGTGTGGGCCCACCCAGTCCCATTTCTGCAATAAGCGGGTTGAGCGTGACCCTGCCCATCAAGGCCGGTAAGGCATGGGACCGGTTACACAGTTTTTCCGAGGTTCCAAAGGTACCATTTGGTGTATGACCGCTTGACGGCAGCCGCAGTTGTGTAGCCGCGGGGTACAAAAATTCACGGTCACATCCGAGGGTGACCACAGATGCCTATTTTTTTAATTTTTGTAAAGTTTCGCTGACAAGAAGTTTGCACAGTTGTGGATGGTACTATGCGACCTGCGAAGCACCAATTTGTTGTTCCTACAGACAGCCAGGACTTGTTCCATCTGAAGAGGTACAGCAGTGTGACTTGACCATGCCCAGAACCTCAAAAGTTGGCCTATCCCAGATCTGCATATTTTGCAGATTTGGGGTGCGGTGTGAGCATACCCATTGAGGCCCGAAAGATGGTGAACTATGCCAGGGCGGAGCGGCCCAAGGCACAGTGGGGAGACATGCACCTGTAGCCAGCTGGTCACATGGAACCCCCCCATCCTGCTGTTTCATTTTATTTTTGTTTTATTTTTATTTTTTGTATACCCTTTTGTTTCCAGCTTGAGACACGGCCCATGTGCTGGTTCCGGAACCGACCGTGAGGCCCAAGAGCCTAGTTCAGTGGATACACCACTGAACCGTGGAAATACAGGCCTGTGTCCCAGTCCTTTGGGACATCTGGTAAAAGTGGAACGATACAGAGGAGATTGGCATGGCCCCTGCATGAGTCTGGCTTGCATAAATAGAGAGGTATAACTCTCTCTTCGCTTGTTGTGGTGAGTGTCGTCCTAGAGGGTGAGGCAACGCACACTAGCGGGAGGGTGGTAGTATAGGTTAGAGAGGAGAAAGGTAGTGCAGGAGAGCGCAGTACCACGAGAAGGGAAGCAGCAGAAACAGCCAGAAGCAAGAGAGGAATGAACCTGGACGTCAAGATGGGCTAGATACATGCGAAAAGGGAGGGGTACGACGAGGAGGTAATAGCTATGGTGGGAGATGAAGGATGCATGTCCCGCCGGTTTCATGATGACATTGACCGGGAGGAGGATGTAGACAGAGGTTATCAGGATGGGTGAACGAGAATCTGCAATCAGATGGGGAGGAGGGTTAGTAGAAGGAAAGGAAGAAGAAAAAAATGGTGCGCGAAGGTGACGGGAGTACAGCTATGGGGGGGGAGAGAAACGCCGATATTTCGCTCGATTCATTATAGAATCGAACGAAGTAAGATGCTATTATGGGGTTTTGATGATAGGGGAATCCAAATGTGATGATAGTTTTAGCAAGGGGTTAGTAGAATGGGAGATTGGTGAAGTAAGGGCCGCGCAGAGCTATGGAGGAAGCGAAAAAGAAAGGGGAGGAAAAAAGCTTTTCTCACTCGTTATTAGATAGATTTGGGCAAGGGAAGAGTCAAACTGGGGGGTTTTGGCCATTGCGAGTTGGATGGGAGTGTTAGTTTTAGATGAAAGTTAGTGTAGAAGGAGGTATTGAGAGAAGGGGATGCGAGGAGCTATGGAGGAAGGAAAAAGAAGAAGGGGGCAGGACAACCAATCTCGCCCGTTTCTTGATGAAAACCGGCGGTTGGAGAGTCGATTCGGAGGTTCTGATGATAGGCAAACCCAAATCTAATGCTAGAATTTGTAGATGGTTAGCGGATTTGGAGTTAGAAGGGCGAACGTATTTAGACTGGGGAGTGCGCCGGATACATGCGCAGGAATAGAGGAGGTAGCAGATGGGCGGGAGCAAGGATCACGGATGAAGAGATAATTTACCACTGTAAACTGGAGATACGGGATGAGCCGAGAGGCGAATTGCAGTGCCAAGCCGTACGTTAAGGCGGCAACAGTTTTGATGGTGTATCTTCTCATGATCTAACGGAAGATTCAACCTCGTTTTTCACATAGTGAAGAAGAGGCAATAACTTGGCTTGTCTTGCTCGCCATCCCGTTCATGGAGACCACTATGCCACTCATCTTGCTCGTTGTTCATGATCCTGATCCTCGTCTTGTTGCTGCTCGCTCAGTTGAGGTCGTCATCCCGTCCTTTTGCCTTCCCATTGGCTTTGGATGAGTCTGGCCTCCTAGATGGCCCGATGCATTTAGGTAGCTAGACATGTCGTGGGATAGAGGGGAGAAG